TCTCTCCATCTCTGTCCCACTGCCCCGTCATACACACAGTGCCTAGTCTCTAACTTTGGCAGGGCTCAACTCTCGGGGTGTGGCTTGGGGCTGGTCTACTTTTGTGAAAAGGGAAGCTGAAGGTGACAGACACAAGAAGGTGTTTCATCCTCACCCCGTTCTGAGAGGTGCGAGGGCAGCCGCCCGCCTGGTGTGGGCAGCCTCCTGGAGGGCACAGAGGTTTGAGACACACTCACTGCTGCCTTCTTTCGGGTTCCTGTTTGTATAACTCCAGCCAGGCCTTTGTGAACACCTGCAGGATTACAAATGTAAACCTAAGCACAAATAGAAATCTGAGCAGCCCCCACAAAGCTCCACAGCTTCCAGCCCTGGCTGACCCCGGCCCTGGCTGACCCCAACCCCAGCAGCAGGTGTCCGAGAGCCACGGCCACTCCTGCAGCCTCCATCCCTCCACCCAACTACGCGGGCACCCTGTGGTTGTCCCAGGCCAGCCTGAGGCGGGTGTTCCCACGCACTGTCCAGCGTGGACCCAGGGGTGGTGACCAGACAGCCTGACCTGGCCACAGCCTGGCTCCGCTGTCCCACCTCAGCCACTTCTCCACGGGGCGTGCAGGTCAACTGGAAGAAGCTGTGGACCTTTCTCTGGCAGCCCTCAAATTTTATTTTAGGATACTTTCAAAAATGCTTTCTTGCTCGGAATGTCATCCTGTCTTTGCAAACCCAGGAGGCTTTGCACCTCCTGCTCAGACTGCCGGCGCTGAGACGCAGTTTAGCTAACATGGCCTCTGGCCATCTACTGCGACTGAATTTCACTCCCTTGAAATAAACTCCCGATGCTGGCGTTTTCCCAGCCGGGTTCCAGGGTGCAGTCTAGCTGATACTCGCACAGCCGATGCTGCTCTGAGTGTGGCCACCGACCCTCGAGGGCCCACAGGGCATAGACGCTGCATCCCAGCGCTGACACAATAAAGGACGAGCCCCTGTCCCCTCAAACAGCAGCCCTGAGACTCACAGCACCCTTCCGGGAAGTGTCCCCTCCTCCTGCCAGCTGATGCCCACGGGGCCCAGCGGGCCCTGAGTAAGGTGCCCAGCACATACCAGCCACGCTCCCCTAGTAAGATGCCCGGCGCACACCAGCCACGCTCCCCAGGTAAGGTGCCCGGCACACACCAGTCACACTCCCCAGGTAAGGTGCCCGGCACACACCAGCCACGCACCCCTAGTAAGATGCCCAGTGCACACCAGTCACACTCCCCTAGCAAGATGCCCGGCACACACCAGCCACACTCCCCAGGTAAGATGCCCGGCACACACCAGCCACGCTCCCCTAGTAAGATGCCCAGCACACACCAGCCACGCTCCCCTAGTAAGATGCCCGGCACACACCAGCCACGCTCCCCTAGTAAGATGCCCGGCGCACACCAGCCACGCACCTGGCCGAGCATCCTCTCCCTTGGGCCAAACAGGGTGGAAACAATGCCAAACGTGGCCAGTGAATAGAGCACCAGTCTCCGCAGCCCAGGTCCCTCTCTGCTGCTCTGTCTGGTGACTGTGCAATGTTGTGACTAGCTACGACGGAGACCCTGGTGCAGCTCACCTGCCTGTCTTCCCCCCAGCATGAATGTTGGGCTTCGCTGCTGGATGCCCAAGTGGCTGTGTGAGCGGCTGGGCAGCTCTGAGTGATCAGCCCCCGGCCTGGGCATCAGCGCTGTCCAGCCTCCGCGTGTGATGGGGCTTCGGGGCGGCAGCCCTTCTCTATTCTCCCTTAAAGATCATTTCTCAGGCTAGGTTTCCAGTGTGTCACAAGATGTAAATGGGTAGATGGCACATTTAGCTTCCCAAAAAGCCACGCTTCATTTTTGGCCCTTCCGAGTCCTCACAAAGGCTTTGTGGGTGCCCTGGCAGCCCAGCACGGGGGAGGAATGGCCTGGGCAGCTGCGGGTATGGATTTCCCTGGATCCTCTAAACAGCACCTTCATGAACAAACTCGGTGTGAGAGACAGGCAGGAACCGGCACCAGGCAGACCTGAGCGCCTCCCCGTCCGGGGGCAGCTCCCACGCGATTTCCAGGAGAGGAACGGTGCCCTCTGCGAGGGCGGAGGTGGGGGAGACAGGCGCACACAGACACAGCTTCACAGCCCGTCCTGACACGACCACATGCTCAGTTGACTCTTTTAACAACAGCTTCCAACACTCCCACCAAGAGGCCCTGTGGCCATGCCACCAAGGGTGGTGTCGCCCCCAGAGGACCCTCCATCAGCCTCAGGTGCGGGGTATGAAAGGAGAAGCTGTCTTCTGTCTCAAAACGGGCATAACGTTATGTTGGCTTCTGAAGTTTTGGTTCAAGCTATTCTCCACATTTCTGTCACACACTAAACATTCAGAAATGGAAATCAATCATGTTTTATTCAGGGCTACTCTGTTCCTTAAATGAGCAAGGATGTAAGCCAGTGACAGGGCTGTCCTTCCAGAAGCTGCTGGCTGGGGACCAGGATGCCTGCCGTCACCGTCCGTGTGTTCTCAGCTGTAGCTGGAGTGCTGTGGCCTGCTCTCGGGTTCTCCATGGCAGTGTTTTGAGCTGGACACCGAAAAGCATGAGGAAATTCGCATTTATCCACCTCACCTGCGGGAGAGCACACAGCTCCGCTCTGTGGTGCTAAGCCTGGGTCTTTGGAGGTGTGAATAGTCCTGGCATCGTGAACCTGTCCCTCACGCCCACTGGATGCTCTTGGCAGGCTGGCATGCAAGGGAGGGGCGCCCTCCAGTGTGTCTGCCCGAGCGGCTGTGGATGTGCACCCGCCGAGCCAGGAGGGGTGTGGAGAAGGGGAGGTGTCTCGGCACATGGAGTGGAGTGGGTTTGGGCTGAGTGACAAGTGGATCTCAAAAGCGATCACGCCACACTTTCAAGGACAGAAACGCCTGCTTGGCCCTCCATGTGAGTTTTAATGGTCACGTCTGTCTGGTGTCTGCACCTGCCCCTCCCTCTGTCCACCAAGGCGGGCGGCCATGAGGAGGCATCCTGCAGTCATAGGGTCAGAAGGACGGGTCAGGATGCAGGGAGCCGTTTCCCTCCTGCTGCTTCTGTGGGCAGCTTCTCCCCCGGGGGGAAGATGGGGCTTTCTAGTGCAAGAGAAATTCCGGTTGCATCTGTGTCCCAAACCGCAGGGTCCACTTCCCTTTCTGAGGAAAACTGCCTTTCACTTTTGTTGCTAAACAGTTTCTGCAAAAGAGCTGGTGGAGCCGATGCTGCGGTGGGCAGGGGAGGGCGCCGCGCTCATCGGCTCTTCTCTCCTTCCTCGCCCTGCAGGAGCAGTTTGAGTTCGCGCTGACAGCCGTGGCTGAGGAGGTCAACGCCATCCTGAAGGCCCTTCCCCAGTGAGCGGTGCGGCCTCGGGGGCCCCGGGGACGCCCCGCCCCACGGATGTTGTCAGGAATCCTGATCCGACTTTAATTGTGTGTCTTCTATTATAACTGCATAGTCGTAGGGCCCTTAGCTCTCCCGTAGTCAGTGCAGTTTAGCAGGTAAAATGTGTCCTTTTGTTTAATCAAACAATAATAAAGAGATTTGTGGGAAAATCTGGTTATGGGTGGAGGGGAATCGGCGCATCGATTTTCACTTTCTTAAAAAAATACTTTTTCTTAAAGCACCCATCACATTCTCAGATGCAAGTCATGTTGCACTAACGATGCCGCAGCCAGCGCGTTGGAGGCGGCTTGCAGGAAGCGTGTGCTTGCCCGCTGCCGCTTTCAGGGGGTGGATCTGCCGTGCAGGAGCGGGGGAAGCTGGCCGCACTCCGCCAACCACCCGGCACGCAAGTCACATTTGGCATTTGTCTTCAAGACCATTTCTCACTGGGAGAAGCCACTGGGACAGAACCGAACGTCCTGCGGCTTCGGGGCAAGGGAGACAGTCACAGCGCCTGCTTCCCCATCCGCATCAGCACTGCCCTGAGCACCATGGACAGCCCCCGGCAGCTACCCCTGTCACCCCAAGGAGAGATTCAGGGGCTCCCCCCGGGGCAGACACCCGCTTGAGGCTGGCACTCCCCTGACCTCACCTTTGCAAAGTCACAGCTGCACCGAACACGGAGACGTGTTTTTAATGTTAAAATATTGATTTCTACGTCACAAAAACAGGTGCCCCGTGAACGCCCACCTGTGAGATAACAAGAACCAGGAAGAGCAAGTCTGGGCATTTAGCACGCGGTGAGGGTCCTGGGAGCACCAGCCCTGCCCGGCCCCTGCTGTCCCCTCCAGCACATCCCAGAGACACCCGAGAGGGTTTCCTGGGAGAGGAGGAGATGCAGGGAGGCCTCACGTGCCGCTTGGAGCCGGGAAGGGAAGTGAGAGGTGCGCCCAGCCGCCCCACCACCTCTTCCCGGATCACTTAGTGAGCCACGTGTGCTCACGTCATGTAAACCTAAGCACACAGATGATTCAGATCTGACAAAATACCATTTGTGTATCAGATTCGCCGTCACCCCCACCCCAGAAATAGGACAATTCGCTTCATTGACCCAGAACGATCCATGGAAGACGGCGCAGAGGCGGCCGTGTGGGCTGATTTCCCGCGCAGGGCTGAGGGTAGAAAGCGCACCTCCGTCCGCTGCACCCCACGGCGTTCCTCCCATCTCGACAGATCAGACACGCCAAAGGCAGGAGCGGAGAGAAAGCGGCCTGCCGAGCAGACAGAGCGATGCCAACATACCGCTTACGTCTCCACGTGGTATTGTAATGACACCTGCTTTCACATCGCTTCGTTTCTTCCCAAAATTATTTCTCTCTGTCTGGAATTTAAATAATTAATAGAAATGAATTTATCTGAATATAGGAATCATATACCTACTTGTAATTTCTAACCCCTTATGTTTCGAGAGAAATCCTCCAGTGTGAAATATATATATATATTTAATTGCGTCATATTAAACTTCTGATTTCACATTCAAGCGGTCTGTATTTGGGGAGGGGGAACAGCCGTTTCCCATCCATCGGTTTCCTAAGGCCCCGAACGTGTAGTTAAACACCGAAACAAACCAAGGATGTTTTCTAGAACTGCAGGTCATGTTGCTGCTTTATCCGCAGCATTAGATGTGTACCAAGGGCCAGGGCGTCACTGAGGTTTCATCCCTAAAACAGGACTAAGCAGCCTCAGTAAGGAGCTGCAGGAGGCATCTATCCCACACGTGTGCTCCGTGCCCCTCCATGCCCAGCACCCCCTGGATTCGGCACCTCCCCATTCCCAGTCCTAGAGGACGACGTATCACTACCGTGGCTAACAGCCCTGCCCCGCCCCGCCGACCCCCTACCATGAGGCTCACACTCTCTCATCTAGGGCTCCAGTCCCATCTTAGGACTGTCCTTCTGTCCTTGGTGGGAAGGGAGACCTTTTCCCCCCAGCCACACATCACACCCCTCCACATGGCAGGGAGATGCAGCCGGAACATTCAAACTGTAACCAAAGAGACCAGGGCTCCAGGGTGTGGTGCCACCACTGACCTTCCCCGCTGCCCTCAGCTGTCTCCACTGGCAACAGTGAGAGATGAGGACGTCAGTGTCACCTTGTCCAAAATCAGGTCATTGCTGAGCAGCGCCCTCCAACTAGAGGGGCTTGGGTTGAAGAAACACTGAATGACACCTGTTGAAACACAGAAGGAAGATTTGATTCAGGACCCGTGCGACGGGCACAGGGATGGTGCTGGGGCAGAGACTGGGCTCCTCTCAGTCATCTTGCATTGCTGTGAAGCAACGCCCGAAGCTGGGCAATTTATAAAGAAAAGAGGTTTCTGACTCACAGCTCTGCAGGCTGTGTGAGAAGCATGGTGCCCCCGTCTGCGTCTGGGGAGGCCCCCGGCTGCTTCCACTCATGGCCGCATGCCTGTGCAGAGCTCAGATGAAGAGAGGAAGCAGGAGATGGTATGGAGGGAGAGCCAGCCTCTTTTTAACAACTAGCTTTTGTGGAAACTGCCAGACCATTACTGTGTTCATGAGGGATCCACCCCCATGACCCAAAAACCTCTCACTAGGCCCCAAATCCCACAATGGGCATCACATGTCACCATGAGGTTTGCAGGGTCCAATACCAAAACCCTAGCAGGGCTCAGTTCCAAACACCACGCGGACAGCGGACAGCGGGGCGCCACAGCCAAGGCGTGGGCTTGGGGTGAGTGGACGGAGAGTTACCAAGAGGAAGCACCAGGGTCAGGGGATTCTGGCCAAACCCACCTGACAGGATTCCTGCTGAAGGCAGGCGAGGGTGACCGACATCACCTGGGGGATGGTGGGGGATGAGGGACCCGATCAGGTATTGAGGGTGAAAGAATATCAAGGTGACCAGGTGTCAAGAGTGGGGGTGGGCTCTTGCTAAACTGACTTTGCAGGATTCTTTGCTAACAATGTCATTTTACAAGGAAGTGCACAGGCGGGCCTAGGAGAAGGGTCCGGAGCCCGACTAAAGGTTGGTCAAGCAGAGCATCTTTACACCACTTTTCAAAGGAAAGAAGAGCATGTCTTCTTTGCTTTGAAAAATACAAGTCTGCTTTCTCGTTTGGTTGTCTTTTGTTCAGTAAGGACCGGCAGAGTCACTGGCTGGGACTTCCGGTGGAGATCAACCGGATGGGCTGAGCCATCAGGCCTTTGGTGAGGTGAGTTTAGTTTCTAAAAAAATAAAGAGACTAATAGTTGGAACAAACCACGAACTCCAATTCTGAGCCCAGAAGGCAGGCAGACCAGAAGCTTTCTAGAAGCCAGGCCGCTGGGTCTCCGGCCGCCGTAGATGACAGCGCTCCCTGGTTTGCAGTTTGGAGACTGTGAAAGTTGTCCATATGAGCTGCTGATGTTTCTATCAAGTCGTCCAGATACAGCTCGCAAGACTTCAGGAAAAAGACAACTCCAAATGTGAAGAAAAGAAGAAAATGGGAAATACTAGTTTGGAAAGTTGTAGCCAGGTGTTGGAGTGAACAAGGAATTCAGGAACCACTCCGGATTATTACAGGTAGGAGCAAAAGCTCAAAGAGGCCGGCATCTAACCCCGGGTGCACTAAGTCACCTTCGTTTCTAACAAAGAAAGTGACTGATTTGTTTGCAAAATAAGTTTAGTGTCATAAACTTGATTATTTATATCACCACAGCCAGAATAGTGATGGACGGGCTTTTTAAAGTTTGCCTTGCTGGAGCTTTTAATAAGGAGTCTCGGGCTGGACTGACAGAAGACTCTTGAGGCTGGGAAGCCAAGCCAAGCCCTGCCGTCAGGCTGCACGTGTGACACCTGTAGATTTGGGTGAATTCTCTCAAGTTTCCAAAAATATCCTGATTCCTGGGCCTGCCAAGAAGGGACATCCCTTACCGCCTGCAACGCTGGGAACGGGGCAGCTTTTCCAGTGGGAGCTTTATTGGCCCCGTGAAGTCAACCTCAGTTTCTTAAAGTTGTCTGGTCATATCTGAAAACACACACATGCCAGTCAAGGCCTTGGTCTTATAACCAGCGTTTCCAGTTATGTCCCAGTACAAAGAGAACAGATTCTTGCTGAACTTATGCAAATAACGATATTGCCGCAAAAATAAGAATAGCTGTCTGTGAATGGCAGAGACTTACAGCAGTCGTGGTTAAAAATCTGGTGAGAGTTCATTTTAACAATGGTGTGATTGGCAAGGAAGTTTGGTTATTTGCATAGCACACAACATTTTGATATAACCAAAATTTTGACTGATAACACATTAGAGTTATAGAGCTCTTATACGGTTTTTTGGAACACTCAGTAACACACCCATAAATATAACTCACAGAAGATTTATTTGGAAACGCTTCCTATATAATTTAACATACAAAATAAAGATAATTAGTTTAATATGTATCTATTACAAGGTGAGAGACATTTCTTTTGACCTTCCAGGGACCCTACTGGAAAACCCCAAAGTTAATTTGAGGTCAAAAAGACTTAAATTAGAATTTGATTTTGGGAAGTTTGTACAAAATGTCAAAAAGTGTAAAACACTTTATTAAACATGATATTGATGATTTAATCAAAGCAACAAAATATTTTAAAGGCAAATACAGAAGGTTACATAGTTGCAAACAAGAACTTAGTTCTTTGACCATTGAGATTTGCGTTTCTTAAGTAATCAAAGATCTAATAAAAGACAATACAAAACACAAAAAGTTATCTTGATAAAACACAAAATCTTTGTTTCCTAGGCCAATTACTTAACAGACAAGGAAAACCCTTCACATTCTCAGACCAATACTCCAAGAAAAATTTGTCATTTAACAGATAAGACCAAATTCTACTTTTGCATCAATGTACAATTAAAACTAATTTTTCATAAAACCTTATAAGTGAAGTCTTCCATTTTCAGTTAGTTTTGACCACACAAGATAAGATTTTTCACAACACTTTTACAGCCTCTTTTTTTCCTTTCACAACTGACATGCATCAAGCAAGCAAGTCATTCATTTTTACTGTGCATTCCGCCATATGGTTTGATTTATAATTTCATGGACTTAAACATCTAGCAGAGACAAACCTATTCAGCAAAAACAAACAAAATTGTATGTCTGTATTATATTTCATGCTATTTTGAAGATACTTCTATTTTTATTTTTATGAATAATTGTAAAACTAGTTTATTTTTAAAGAATTACTCAAGTCACATGAGCTAAAGGGCAATTGTTTGTTCCTATTTTTTGAGATAATGCTTTATATAGTGCTTACTTTAAGCTAATTGAATAGAGCTCTTTTATATATGTTGACAGCATCACCCAGAGATTTTGAAAAATCACATACACGTAACATATACATATATAAATAGATAGATAGACAGATACTTAAATGTACAGATGGATGCAAGCAGATCTTTTAGTTTTTCAAAATTTTAGTCCTGAGGCAGTAAAACAGAGTGATACGAACTCATTGGTTTATCTCCACTTTATATTCTTATACAAATTGTGTTTCTGATGAAAATGGAACACATTGACGTTACCTACTCAATAAGGGATACAGCTATTTACCAACATTTGCGGAGAAGGCCTTTAAGGTTTTTCACTTTTCCAGCTCCAAGGAGTTTCTTTTTCCTCTTTTCTGCCTCAAGTGGAATTTTCAAGATATCTTGAGTCCCTTGAGCCCCCAGTAGGTCCCTGTAGACCCCAGTAGGAGCCTAAAATTCAACTGGATGAGGGACTGGAGGGGGAGGGAAAGGAAAGGGTCTAGCAGGAATGGACAGAGTTAGCAAAGCTCAGAGTCAGCTGGAGTGTGGGGCGGGGGGGACTCCAGGTGACAGAGTGAGTCCTGTGGGAGAAGCGGGAGCTGACAGCAAACAGAACAGACAGATGAGGCCTCACACAGAGCCGGGAGGAAGGACTTCCAGTCCCCACAGTTACCTTTCTAAAGAAGCCTGAGACTCACCCAGCCTCAGAGAGATGCTCATACCTGAGGAATCTCAACCTGTCCTGACTACCTTCAGCAGATACTTGATTCAAGAGTCCGACTCACCAATAGACCCCACTCAGTCGGGAGTCAAGACAAAGCTTCAAAGGCGCACTCTTCAGGTCCTGGGTAAGCGCCCGAGGTCCCATGACGAATCTGATTCTGTCGGGTCACAACGCCATGACTGTCAAAAAATTATTCAGCGAGACCTGTTAAAAGCACAGTAAGGAAGACTTTATTCAGGACAATAGGTGTAGGAGCCGTGACAACCAGGCCTTGGAGTGGGGGAGGGAGGCCGGCTCAGCACAGGAAGTTGGGGATTCATAACCAAGAAGCAGGGTAGGGGTGAGTGAATGGAGCTTTACTAAGAGGAAATGTCAGGGTCAGGAGACTCCGACTAAACCCACCTAACAGGGTTCTTGCTGCAGGCAGGCCAGGGCGACTGACATCACCTGGGAGGTGGTGAAGGATGAGGGACCCAATCAGATACTGAGGGTGACCAGATATCAAGGATGGGTGGGGGAACGGTTCTTGCTAAACTGACTTAACATGGTTCTTCGCTAAAATTGGATTTTACAAAGAAGGGCACAGATGGACCTAAGAGAAGGCTGAAGAGCTTAGCTAAATTTGGACCAACAGAGCAATCGGCAAGGTAAATAAAAGGCATCCAGATAGGAAGAGAGGAAGTCAAGCTGTCCGTTTGCAGATGACATGATCCTACGTCTAGAAAACCCCACAGTCTCTGCCGAAAAGCTTCTTGAGCTGATAAGCGACTTCAGCAAAGGTCTGAGATATAAAATCGATGTACAAAAATCAGTAGCCAAGCCATGGGCCAAATCAGGAATGCAATCCCATTTACAATTGCCACAAGAAGAATAAAATATCTAGGAATACAGCTAACCAGAGAGTGAAAGATCTTTGCAGTGAGAATTACAAAACAGTGCTCAAAGAAATCAGAGGTGACACAAACCATGAAAAACATTCAACGCTTGTGGACAGAAGAATCAACGTCGTTAAAATGGCCACATTATTCCTCTCAAACTAGCAATGGCGTTCTTCACAGAAGGTGAAAAACTATTCTAAGTTCATATGGAATCGAAAAAGAGCCCAAATAGACAAGGCAATTCTAAGTAAGAGCAAAACTGGAGGAATTGCATTGCCAGACTTCAAACTATACTACAAGGCTACCGTAACCAAAACAGCCTAGTACTGGTGCAAAAACAGACACATAGACCCAATAGAACAGAATAGAGAGCCCAGAAATAAGGCCACACACCAACAACCATCTGATTTTTGACAAAGGTGACAAAAACAAGCAACAGAAAATGGACTCCCTGGTCAGTAAATGGTGCTGGGGTAGCTGACTGGCCGTATGCAGAAGATTGAAACTTGACCCCTTATTTACACCACATTCAAAAATCAAGATGGATTAAAGACCTAAATGTAAGACCTAAAACTATAAAAACCCTGGAAGATAACCTAGGAAATACCATTTTGAACACAGAAACTGGCAAAGATTTAATGACAAAAATGCTAAAAGCAATGGCAACAAAAGCAAAAATTGACAAATGGGACCTGATTAAACTAAAGAGCTTCTGCACAGCAAGAGAACCCGTCAGCAGAGTAAACAGACAAACTACAGAAGGGGAGAAAATATTTACAAAATATACATCTGACAAACGTCTAATATCCAGAATCTACAAGGCTCTTAAACAAACATACAAGCAAAAAGTAAACAACGTCATTAAAAAGTGGGCACAGGACATGAACAGACACGCATACATGTGGCCAACGGGCATACAAAAAAATGCTCAGTATCACTAATCAGAGAAATGCAAATCAAAACCACAATGAGACGTCACCTCACAATGGCTATCGAGCTGTGGAGAAGAGGGGACGCTTACCCATTGCTGGTATGAGTGTAAATTAGTTCAACCATCATAGAAAGCAGTATGGAGATTCCTCAAAGAATCAATCGCACTACTGGTAAATACCCAAAAGAACATACATTGTTCAACCATAAAGACACATGTGGGGCCAGGCTCGGTGGCTCACGCCTGTAAGCCCAGGACTTTGGGAGGCTGACGTGGGCAGATCACGAGGTCAGGAGATCGAGACCATCCTGGCTAACACCAGGAAACCCCGCCTCTACTAAAAATACAAAAAATGAGCCAGACGTGGTGGCACATGCCTGTGGTCCCAGCTACTTCGGAGGCTGAGGCAGGAGAATCGCTTGGACCTGGGAGGCAGAGGTTGTGCTGAGCCGATCGCTCCACTGCACTCTGGCCTGGACAGAGCGAGACTTCATCTCAAAAAACAAACAAAAAAAAACAACAACAAAAAGAAATTAACTGAATGGGCCTTGTGGTGTAGGCCCCTGCATTTTTCTTGTCTGTGAAGAAAAAAAGAAACTCAAAAAAAAAAAAGACACATGCACGCATATGTTTATTACAGAAGTATTCACAATAGCAGAGACACAGAATCAACCTAAATGCCCACTGATGGTAGATTGAATAAAGAAAATGTGTACATATACACCATGGAATACTATGCAGCCATGAAAAAGAATGAAATCATGTCCTTTGCAGGAACATGGATAGAACTGGAGGCCATTATCTTTAGCAAACGAATATGGGGATTCATAAGCAAACAAAAATAGCAAATACCACATGCTCTCACTTATAGGTGAGAGCTGAATAATGAGAACACATGCACAGAAAGAGGGGAGCATCAGACACTGGGGCCTACTTGAGGGTGGAGGGTGGGAGGAGAGGCCCAGAAAAAAAACGGTTGGGTACTACACTTAGTACCCGGGTGACAAAATCATCTGTATACCAATCCCCCGAGTCACAAGCTTACCTGTATAACAAACCTGCACATACACCTCTGGCCCTAAAATAAAAGTTAACATATTCTTAAAAATAAATGAAGTCTGGCCAGGCGAAGAGCGTTTGTCAGCGTCCACCAGCATGCCGGTCTTCCTCTCTTAAGGAGCCGCTTCTTGGCTCACTGGATTGACTCCCAGCTTCGTTCCTGTTGGTCCAGTGTCCCAGGCTCTCCTTCCCCGAGTCTGCACCTCGTCGGAACCTGCCTGCGCCTCCGGGAACCTTCCGCTTTCCATGTGTTGCTGAGACCCAGCCACAGAACATCTTATGTGAGCACGTGTCACAGTATGGAAGCGTCTCATGATGAATGCAATTCAGAATTCAGGGCCGAGGGCAATAGGGCAGGCTGAAATCCCATGTAAGTATTCCACTCCAGAAGTGCTGGACCGAGTGTACTAAAATAACTTTTAAAATACATAGCCAAGCCATAAAGAAAGAGAACTCCTCAAGGGCTTATTCCAAAGAGGGATCCGGAGGTCAGTGTGGGAACGGTGGGGAGGGCTGAGCCCCACGAGAGCAGGTGGCCGGTTCTAAACACCTCCACTAGGCGTTTGCACAAATGGCTTCAGGGAGGGTTTAACAACCAACTCCCCTAAACGGCGGACCCACAGAGGTCACGCAACGTACACGCAGAAGATACACGGCACACAGCTTACAACTAACAGCACACATGGTGCTCTATTGTCAATTTCACGTAGCCACGGGTTCTCACAGAATGGTCACTTCGATTTTCATGGAATTCTTGTATCCGTAGCCAACCTGTGGCTGCAGTTGGGGAATGAGTCTCATTCCAGCTCATTTACCTCAACAGGCGAGAAGAGGAAACAGAGTACGTCAACTTACTCCACAACACGCACTAACAGCTGAGCAACTTTGGACAGAATACGTCAGAACTATTCTATGCTGCTCTTGAGCAGCCTGAGTAACTTTGTCAAATGGGATGACAGTTGCCAAATCCTGAGGGAAGGCGGTCTCTATTTCCTCACGCCGCTCACAGTGGAAGGGCAACGACGCCACACGCTTAAGTTTGATCAGCGTTAGGAATGTCTTCTTCGTCACTTGGTAAAGTCTAGACGATCAGCACAGCACAGGCGACGCCCGATCTGCGGTGGCTGCTGATTTCTGAGATGCAAACGCGGCCGCCGTGATGATTTCGGCATGACGGGACAGGCAGCAGGCGGCCGCCGTCCGCATTTCCACCGCACAGGCTCCAGAGGGGGACACAGCCAGAGGGCATACAACCACCTGGGACAAATGTAGACAAAAACTCCTTATTTATCGTCTGTGTTTTAATATAATTTGCCGGTTAATATCATTTGACTTGTAATAATGGCATGTTTAACAAGCTGCCTGCAAGATCCCCATAAACAACCACCTACCCTGCAAGTCGCCTGGGCCGGCGGCCGCACACTCTGCCTCAGGACCCCCCGACAAAGAGCAGAGTTTGGAGGACAATCCCGTCCCGCCGTACAGGAAAAAATCCCTGAAGCACACGAGGGTGTGGCACTGACTTAACCCTCCCACGGAGCCCAGGGAAGCCACGGCGAAACATCGAGGTGGAAACTGATCCAAGCCCCGTGAAACCCTTGAGTCCCCAAGATAAGTAAAGGCAAAACCGCTCAGCGCCCTTCTGCGACCCCCAGAAAAGACGCCCCCTGAAGATGAGCGCCTAGTAATCAGTCACAAAGCCCACGGGGTCGGGCACCCCCAGGGAGAGTCACCCAATGTGAAAAAGGTGACAAAATTGGCTTTAACATTTTAAATGGTATATAAGAAGAATAACAGCATTTACAAAGAGAACAACTAGACCTGAAACAGAACCAAACAGAACTTCTAGAAATGAAACCGAAAAGGAACAATCATTTTAAAATTAAGGGACGCGTGTTCACATGACACAAGCTGACCGTAAACCCTCGATGTCTGCGTTACACGGAAGATTGGCTAGGGCTGGAAACTCCGTGGAATGGAGGACAGGGCTGAGAAAGCCACTCACACGGCGCAAACATGCAAGGGAGGCTGGGGAAATACCGAGGGCAGGAGTGGGCGGCAGAGGAGGAGAGTGAGGACCTTGAAGAGTCCCTCTCACGGCACCGGCGGGCTCCGGGGGCCTCCTGTGCCCCCTCCAAGGTGGGTCCCAGCTGGGGACGGCTCTTCCTTCAGCATCGATCCCCAGCCCCAGCCCCGGTTCCGAGTGGGCAGGGAGACATTACCCAGACGAGGCTTCCTTCCTGGCCGGTGCATGTGGCCTGGGACGTGCACCCCGCCCCGGGTGGAGAGGGCGTTGAGACAGCATCCAGATCCCAGCCACAAGGCGGGCTTTCTCCACCCACACCACTCAGCACTTGGTTTGCCAGCATGGCGGTGACTGGGGGACGCAGACGCAGCGAGGCCTCGAGGGGCTTCAGGATGTGAAAACGCAGGCACGCGGGAGGCTGAGGAGAGCAATGAGCGAATCGGGGAGGGGTGAGGGGGACCTTGCACCCCACTCTACAGTGTGCAGGCCCTGAGCTGCAGACCTCGGCCAGGCAGGCAGTTGGGCTGCACGCTGAGTTCGCAGTGGGGCACTTGCAAGGTGCCGAGGGTCCCCTCCCTCCCAGCCGCTGGGGCCCGGGGCTTGTGTAGGGGCTCCCAGCCATTCACGGCTTCCACGCAGTGGGCTACCCATCACGCGAGTCAGTGACAATTTTTACAAAGTTTTGCTTAAGACGGATTTTTTTAATGTGTTGAGATGTGATCTTATGAAAAGAAAACGAAATCTGTGTACTGTAATTCTACACCTAAGAAATGCACCAGGCCAGACACAGGGGCTCACGCTGTGGGAGGCTGAGGTGGGAGGACTGCTTGTGCCTAGGAGTTCAAAATCAGCCTGGGGTACATGGCAAAACCCCTTCTCTACACAACAAAAAAAAAAAAAAAAAATACAAAAGTTAGCCAGGCATGGTGGCGCACACCTGTAGTCCAGCTACCGGGCGGCAGGTGGTGCTGAGGTGGGAGGGAGTTTGGGGCTGCGGTGAGCTGAGGTGGTGCCACCGCCCTCCAGGCTGGGCAGCAAGACCCTGTCTCAAAACAAAAACACAAAAGGAAAGGCACTAATTTATCTTAATAACAAGACCATAAATCTGTTTTCCTCGGGGTCTTGGAATGGGGTTGATTGAAATTCCTTGGAGATTCGCACACGTGCACACAGGCACGCCCACATGCCTCCGGGTAGATGGTCTCATTAAAGATGCCCCATTCTCCTGAGTGTTCTGAGCCCCCATGTGTGAGGTTCGGGGCCTGCCTCTGAATCTGTCCTCTTTGGGGCCAGGCCCGCCTCAGCCATCACTCTTCTGGCCCCACTGTCTGCACCATCAGCTGCGGACAACCTCAGGAGGGAATCACTTCCCAGCACCGCACACCTGCTCTGGGGGGAATCTGTGCCAGCACAGAATTTTCCATCCTCCTCTGAAAGCCCAGGTCACGGCCCCAATTGGGAGCCACTGCAGTCCCACGGGTGGGTGAGTGAGCTCTCCGGAGTCTGTCTGTCTCCGTGGCCGGGGTCCTGCACACATTGCATCGGGTGCCCCACGGGCAGGTGAGTGAGCTCTCCGGAGTCTGTCTGTCACCGTGGCCAGGGTCCTGCACACATTGCGTCTGGGGCAGCTGGGTGTGGTAGCCCCAAGTGCCCTCCTGCTGGGTGGCTAGGAAGAGCACTTGCCTGCAAAGCATCTAAAGTGAATGTGGCAGACCAGAGCATTCGTCCTCAGAACTCCGCAGAGACCACCGTGCTGCCACTGTGTGGGCTTTTCCTGTGAAGCCAGGCTGGACTGATGCTGTTACGTGTTCCTGGGCTGTGTAAACTGATGGGGCAGCCCCGGTAAGCTTTATTTATTTTTCTACAAATGTAACCAAATACTTTGTGGAAGCCGCCCCGCACGCCCACCGACTCGCGCTCCCCCTCCATGTCTCTGCGGGCCCCTCCCGCGCTCTCTGCCCGGCACACGCAGGAAGCCAGCCCAGGGCGCTCCCTGGGGAAGCACCGGCACGTTAGACGGGGCCCGTGTCTGTGCTTTAGTAATCAAGGAGACACTAATAAAGAACCCTCATAATGAGCGGAATAGACATGAATTCAAAGACGTTTGCTGGAATAGAAAATGAGAATCTGCTCACACCTTTGTTCCTACACAACGGCAGGTTCATTTTGCTCCGAGTTTGTTCAGAAGCTGGTCTCAGCCGTTACGTCGCTCCGTTTATTAGACAAACGGGATGGTTTAGGGAATTTGCTTTCTTTAGTTGAGTGCAGTTGGCAAATATCACAGTGGGTTTTCTGGCCATCAGGTGGTTTCTCTGTGGTCGCCTCCACTGGACGGTGCTTAGGGGAGCCAGGGGCCTCTGTCCTGCAGGACGAGATGTGCGCCCCTCAGTCCAGAGGGGACGTGTCCCACATGGGAGGGGCCGGGCGAGGTACAGAAGCCCCCCTTCCACATGGGAGCATCCGTGTAAGGTGGAGAAGCCCCCCTTCCACCCGTGAGGGGCCGTGTAAGGTGGAGAAGCCCCCCTTCCACCCGTGAGGGGCCGTGTGGTGGAGAAGCCCCATGCTCTCCGTGGCTCTCCTGCTGCCGCCTCTGTGGGTGCAGAAAGCCTGCTGCTGTGCGCACCCCACTAGCACCAAGTGGCCTGCGGAGCAACACTGGCTGGTGGGCTGGACGGCGCAGAAGTGAGAAGCGGTCTTGGAAGGCAGCAGCCGGAGGCGCCGGGATGAGGTCATTGTCAGCCCCGCCACGCAGCTCCCCACAGCACATGGGGCTCTGAAGGAAGCCTGGAACAGCACGGGAGTGAGGTCGGGTCTCTGCATCACAGCAGACAGGGAAGAGAGGCCCACCATACCAGCTCAGAGTCTGACTCCACCTCCACCGCCCGGCTCGCCCTGCCTGTGTTCTCACTCTGCTTTTTTTAATTGACACACAATAATTGCGCCCACTTCTGGAACACAGGGTGGTGTTTCGATGCCCATATATGATGTGGGATCATCAGACCAGGGCAGTCCCGTTCTGCTCATGTGTGATGTAGGACCCTCACAGATCAGGGCCGTCCCCGTGCCTGCCACCCCAAACCTTTGTCCGTTCTTTGTGACGGGAACATTCAGAAGCCCTCTTCTCGCCGTCCGAAAGCATAAAATAAAGTGTTGTCGACCACAGGTGCCTGGAGCCCCAGGAACACTAGTGCATTCTCCTGTGGCTCCAACGCTGTGCCCCCACCAGCC